GTGCTATCAACTATGGTAAAGAGGTGGGACTATTGAAGACTGGCGATAAGGTTGTTGCTATCCATGGCATGAAGGAAGAGACCGCTGGTGCCACAAATCTGGTCAAGGTTCTTCCTGTTGATTAGACTGTATAGACGATAGTTGTTGTTACACGATTACCTTTTACAAGCTATAGATTCATCCGATTATAACCTATCATGTCACTAGTACGGTTTCGATACGAACAACCATTTCACGAGTACCGACTAAAGATTGATGATGTTATCAACACGGGCTTATGCCCATAGAGATTCTTAAGCATACATTCACATATTGAGTTGGAGTTCACACCTGAGGAGCTAGCATCACAGTCGAGTGATGGCGTAGCAGTGGAGGGGACAATACCGTCACAAATTAGGAGACAACCATCTCGTTTCGAGCAGTAGGTGGGATGCGATAGTTGGAGTTCGTAGCGGTGTACAAGACTTGAGTGGTAGTTTATATTGCTTTTTGATTTGATAGAGGATGCCAGATCATGGTTTTACAGGTCGGCGTGTAAAGGGTTGCAGTGTGATCGGCGAGGCCCACATCGCTGTGCCGGATGATATGGCTGAGCTCGCTAGTTGGGGATGTGGCTTGCAGGACTCCTTTCAAAGGAAGACCAAGCTTATATGCACTATGGGTCCATCATGTTGGGATGTTGATATTCTGGTGAAGATGATCGATCAGGGTATGAACGTGGCGAGGTTCAACTTCTCTCATGGTGATTTCGAGATTCATAGTAGAACTCTGAGGAATCTGAAGGATGCACTCAGGGAGCGGCCAAATGACGATGTATCCATCATGCTCGATACCAAGGGACCCGAGATCCGTTCGGGTTTCTTTGCTGCTGGTGGTAAGGTCGAGCTCGAGGCCGGTCAGGACTTGATCCTCACTACTGATTACTCCTTCAAGGGTGATGCTCACAAGATTGCCTGCACCTACCCCAAGCTCCCTCAGAGCGTCAAGCCCGGCTCCATCATCCTTATGGCCGATGGTACGGTTAACCTGGAGGTTGTTGAATGCTACGAGGACAGCGTTAAGACTCGTGTCTTGAACCACGCTATCATCGGTGAGCGTAAGAACATGAACCTCCCCGGTGTCAGGGTCGACCTTCCCTGCATTGGTGAGAAGGAGGCAACGATATCCTCAACTGGGGACTTCCCAACGGAATCGATTTCATTGCCGTCTCCTTCGTCCAGCATGGCGATGATATTCGTGAACTGCGGAGATGTTGGGAAGTCGTGGTCGGAA